ATAAAATCTCAATTTTAGCCACACATCATATTGAAACCCAATTGCAGCCAGCCTTGTGGTTCATATTTGCGGTTAGATAAGGCCCCGCTATAGCAACGGCCTTGTCCTAAAAATTGATTACATTGATTTTTTAAAGGCGCTGTAAATGAGCAGAAATTGAGGTTACTAATGGGATCGCTGTGAAGGTTAGATTCTGGGTCAAACAGATTGTTTATTTCTGGAAATTCTGGCTTGTTGATGTTTGGAAGTTCTGTTGTCAGGTGTTTTTAGACGTTTAAGTTTAAATGCAAGAGAGGAGGGTCGATGGTATTACCCCAGGGTATAAGTCGATCTCTCTCGCAGAGCAGCTGGTCACACCGAGGGAGTTGTACAAAAGCACGACTTCCATATGACCAGCGACGATCAGTACATAATCATATTTTTAGAAGACAGTGTACAGCAACTTAACAGATATTGTTTTGTAGGTTCTAATCACATTATGGGTTAACTTTATTATTCTCGGTTCGAGCTGATCTTATGGGGAAAGCACAGGAAATGCACGTATTGGCTACAGCAGTCCCCAGATCCCATGCACTAATTGTGGAATTTTTTTTTATACGGCGGGTCTTGCTAGTCACACTCGCCATCACCACAGCCTGTGATTCCCATTAGCCTCCCTATGGTATAATGTAACACAATCGTCTAGAAATACGGAAAAGGTACCAACAATACAGTTATAACTATCAAGACACTTTGTCTTGAGCTCTGACGTCTTGGGTTCGTTTCATGTTGCGTCGTTCGGTTCACGAGTGCAAATTTCACGCAAACCATGAGGATTGTCACAGGAGCTACCGAGTTCGTGCTTTGTGCAACGCTCTCAACTGGCGATTAACCGTTCTGCGAAGAGAGACGGAGCTGTGTGGGATAGAACCCTGTGCAATAAAGTCGATCCTCTGGACTTTAACTTAACCATGGACACAAAACAGATCAGAGAGAAAGAGAGAGAGAGAGACAAAGAAAGAGATAGAGATAGAGAAAGAGAGAGAGGAAGTAAGAGAGAGAGAAAGAAAGAGAGTGAGTGAGAGAGAGAGAGAGAGAGAGAGAGAGAGAGAGAGAGAGAGAGAGAGAGAGAGAGAGATCTACCAGCAACTAACTTTGATATTGAAACAAATGACATAAGAAGTTGTAGAACCTCACGAAATAGTCAGTAAAAATGGTTACAACAAGGGAAACAAAACAGAAGAGAAACAAAAATCTACCACCTGCCGAGTATTTTGGAAAAACAACACAGTTGAAAGAAGGGAAAACAGAAACGCAGCTGTTTATCCCGTACTGTTGCTACTTGAAGATTTGACCACTCATGCAACTCTAAGATGACCACTTCTGCAACTCTAAGATGACCACTCCTGCAACTCTAAGAATCACATCAGGTATGGCAAACCAAACGTGCAATTTCCAGGTACCCTATTCAATCTTCGAGAAAGTTACAATTTAGGGCACATGCTATGGGTACACCACGGGTTACCTACTGCCTATGTGGGGGAGAAGTGATTTCACAATTTTTACAATCAGGGAAGGTTGCTAGTAAAACAAACAAGTAGCTACGAAGGGACACAAACAAGATGGACAAGCGAGCCTACCATCATCATCTATCTCCACATGAGTTTCTTTGCAAAACAATGAAAAAAGCTCTAATAGGGGACAAAAAATGAGAGGTGGACAAGTCTTGTACACAATTTTGTTAGCAAAACAGAAGAACATGTTCCAACGAAGGAGTGAAATAGAAAACCCTACCATCAAATAATTTCTACAGAATAATTTAAAAAAAAACAATGTTTATTTCATGTTAGTCCACCCCATCTCGGGGAATCCAAGAGTTCGTGGGGAGTTTTCTGGAGAGTCCAATTAGTATAGGAATGTTAACAGTCCGAAAGGAACACCAACTGACTCTAACTCTAACCCCTTCCCCCCCCCCCCCCCCCAATATTTTTGGACTGTATCTGGAACTCTCAGATACCCAGAGATAGGGTCAACTAAAATAAAGGTGTCCCGAAAAAAATATAAAAGCTGCGTATTCTTCACAGAAGGTTGGAGTACAATTCCCAGCTTTTTGGACTGTTTGTGATTTCCCGTAGAAGAAGAAAACAAAATTAAGAAGGAGGACACAAACAAGGTAGACATAAAAATATCGTAGAAAACAGATATGTTGCCAAAACAAACACCTCCTCTTCCCCCCCCCCCCCTTTTTTTTCTTTCCCCCATTGTAAAACAGTGTTAATTTAAAACACAATCAAGAGAGATGGAAACTTCGGTCCTATTCACGTTTTCTAGCCCATCTACACACTTTCTCAGTCTTGTCTAGGTCGGAGGAGTGTCACGTTGTACTATTTTTTCGAAAAGAGTCTCTCGTGGGACCTAGGCTCAGGTTGCGGTTGGGGGGGGGGGGGGGTTGGGTGGGTGGTTTATGGTCAGTTCTAGATGTTCTGGGATCGTTACAAACTGTGCCGTCGTCTAGTATACAACACGCCACATCGGCGCTGATGCAATTGGAGGCAAGATAACGTGATACCCTTCTGACGTAGAGCAGTCTAGGAAGGTATGAATGAAAAGGTCCGAGCCAGGGCTTAGATGGGCCGGAAAACGTAAATAGGACAAAAATTTATATCAGCAAGCAATTCTGATTTAGACACACAAACAATGAGGATACAAACACAAACAAAGAGAGACAGACAGACAGAGAGAGAGAGAGAGAGAGAGAGAGAGAGAGAGAGAGAATTCTACCACACACACACACACACACACAAAAACAAACAGACACATGCGCAGTGCTTAATGAGAACATAAATAAGAGAGATTTAAAACCACAAACCACCGTTTTGTTAGCTAAACATAAAATAATTTGCTAACGGGAAAACAGAGGGCAAAAACAGGGGGCGGCAGAAACCACAGAATTAGGAACAGACATCTGATGAATCATTGGGGATTATTTTCGGCAACATCCAAACGGTTAGTGCACCACCAACACGACACTAACAAGAGCCAGCTATGACTGGACTCAGTAGAATGAGACAGAGCTCTCCAGCATTGTCTCACCACGTACAACTTAATTAGTGGAGGCAACCTTGATGCCTTTTCCAGACTCCCCCATGCTGGTCTTTCTATCTCGGCTTAACGAGCTTTTGAACAGGTAGCTAAGGGAGCTCAAAATAAGGGTGGTAAACGTAATGATTATTCCAAATATGAGTCTCAGTGGAATTAGCTAATTTAGGAGACAAAGAGAGGATTGGGAATATTTTGAAGCAGAACAAGCGTGGGTGACTCTCAGTTCTGGTTTAAAACACATACTGTGAAAGCTTTTAGCGTCATTAATGTTTGACTGGTGATAACTGCGAGTTTAGTTTGCGGCAAATCAACTTCAGAAAAGTCAGTGTGAACTTGACTGGGGAAAAAGCGTAGTTTATGTTTTCTTTCATGTCTTGTCTAGACATGACGTCATCGGATACTAAACTTGATTGGGTGCTGAATAAAATGACCACACCCGCGAACTAATCGATACTGACCCTTCAGTAGTTCGTGAGCTCGCCTTGGAATACTAGGCATTGATTCCAATATATATATATATATATATATATATATATATATATATATATATATATATATATATATATATATATATATATATATATATTTCTTCCTCTGGCGAGCAGATATTGGCGGCCTCGCTCACCAACGTCTGTTGTATCTTCTAACTTTCCCCGTTGTCAGTTCCCAGGCCCTATTGTAATGTGTGTGTGGGTGTAGGGGGTAAGGGGACATAGAGATCCCTCGTCCTTTAAAAAGCAGGTCGTACAAGGCTACTATTTTGTTAAAAGATGGTATTGAAGAGTCGAAAGGCGCAGATATTCCAGTCTGGCTGTAAACCTCACCACAATGAACTAGCCTCTCTTTCATGGAAGAAGGCAGAAAGAAGAAGAAGAAGAAGAAGAAGAAGAAGAAGAAGAAGAAGAAGAAGAAGAAGAAGAAGAAGAAGAAGAAGAAGAAGAAGAAGAAGAAGAAGAGAGGTAAGAAACCAGCAGTCTGCATACAAATAAGCCGGATATGTACAACGGATGTACACGCAGCATCAAGGTTCTTGAATACGAATAAAGTCCAGAGGTGGGCGAACAACCAGAACTTTCCGCTGGAGTTTAAAGCCGGTGAACACGAAGAAAACGAAGAAGATTTCAAACAACTAAATAAAGTAAATGTAGGGTAGGGGGCAGACATTCGATAACACGAGAGGTCAGAAGGTCTCGGCTAACTGGGAACGAATGGGCTCAAGAGTAGCTAAGGATGCTGAGCTAGCATCTGCTATCCGTCTTTTTAGCACGCACGCTAGTTTACATGCTAGAGGAATTTGTCATCTTTGATTTGTGTTATATCAAAGCAATGATGTACTGACGTAATGCTGTACCGAGGTAATGGGCTGAAGTAACGTTTTGCTGCAGTAGTGTGCTGAAGCACTGTTGTACCGAAGTAACCTTGTACTAAACAGAACCGTTGTGGCAGCATTATGGGCCCCCTGGCAAGCCACTGTGCTGGGGCCCCAACGGCAGCCACTCGCATGAATAAAATTATGTGGTTGATAATATTTAAACATATACACAGATTAGCAAGGGGCTCTTATGCTCGTGGGGCCCCCGAAGAAGTGCCCAGTAAGTACAGTTGTACAGACGTAGTGTGCTAGAACAGTGTTGCAAAGTCACTCTGAATGCTAACCTAAGCCTACCACATGTGTATACGATCATGGGTAGTGGGTTAGGAGGGATGGGGGGTGGGGGTGGGGGGCTGGAAAGAGAATAATGAGCAACCTTTAACAGAAGTCCATGATATTTATATATTTTACTAATGCAGACTGTAACTTCGCTAACAAAGCTGGCTATCTCGTAATGTGTCAGACTTCGCAACGCGTGCAATAAACTACCACCGCTTGCTCTATCTAATGCACGACTAAATGTCAGGTTATGGAGTACATAAATTACTTACCACAATTTTCGCATAAAACTTTCCGCAGCTCTGTTGCCATGTTTTTAGATTTCTTGACTGGCATGGCCATAATTTCAAAGTGTAATCCTTTAGGGTCAGAGATATCCTTTAGAAAGAAGAAATACGTCCTGCCTTGCTGGACACTGCCTACACAATTGGTCGAGTCTCGACCTCCATTTCTGAACCTCGCAATTGTGATCTTTTTAGAAGGGCTGCCATTTCCGACAAGCTGCGCTCCTTTCAGAATCTTCTTTCTGATAGCAACTGTGATGTTGTAGATTTGGCCTGGTTGGGACTCCGGCGTTTTCCTAACCTTGCCTTCAATAACAACATCGGAAAGCAGGGCACTAGATGGTGGGTCAGTAAACCGCTGACCACACGTTCCACTGACTACATCGACCACACACAGCAGCAGGCCTAGAAGAACGAAACGTATGCGACACCAGCGCATGTCGTGGCGTTTGGGCCTCGGCTGCCTTCTGAAAGTAACACAACTACTTCGAGCTGAAGCACAATATATCCCCCACAGCAGTGTACAGCGGTAAACAAATTCTTACAAGACAGCACAAATTTAACAAAGGGCCTCTTAAAATTAACTAAACAAGATAAACATTATGTTTGTTAAGTTACTAGATTTAAGATTAGCGTATTTGGCTGTTGGAATTGTGACTGCGAAAAGACATGAGTTCTAGAAGATTGCAGAAGCTCTTGCAACATGTTTGAAGAAACGTGGGTTCTTCATCCAAAACCTACAGGCTACTTAAGATTAATCCACCGAAAAGTAAACAGGAGGGATCAGAATAAGGTATGCATAATATATGTGAATTTACTACATGTGAACTATCATCTCTGACGAAGCTCAAGTTTCGATGTTTGTTTAACACGTTAGGAAAATAAAATCTTTTTACTAGTATATACTAGTAAACAACCTAAAAATTGTGATTTTTTTTTAAAGCATAAGAGCACGAATCAAACATGTTATGTCCACTTAGCACAATCGCAATGATATCTAAGAATGAAAATAATAAACAAGCGGTGTAAATAAGAAATATAGTAATAATCCAGTGTATGCAACTTGCTGCCACTGTTGCCCGACCGAATGAACCGCCGACTTATGACACTGAAACGAGATCACACACGCCGAATCAACGGGCCGGTAATCTGGGACATCAGAACTACCCACCCCCCTACATTTGTAGGCGAGTAGGCAAGCAAGTCGGGTTTTACTCTCCTGCCTTCGTTGGCGGTTTTTTCTTTTTTTTTTTCTTCCCTTCACTCCTTTCCCACTTCACGCCTCCCCTTTTCCCCACTCGACTGGCGCTCGGTTTGGCCGTCTTTCAATATTGGTGTCGCCGCTGCTTCAAGTGCGTTTCGTGTTTCGTGTGGCCGCAGTGAAGTGGCGGCGGAAGCAGCATTTCTGGTTGATTTTAGTGGTAGGGTTTCATACCAGCACAACACCGTAGGCAGTAAGCTGGATTGGCCCCTCCGTCTACTACACATAGTCTAAGATCAATTGGTACATTTGTGTGCGCATATTTGTTTCGTATACTTGTATATTCTCTCCCATGTGGTATATGTGTTTTTACATTCTCTGGGGGCGTATTTGTGTTACTTGTTTTATTTCATATGTTTGTTTCGTTTACTTGTGTATTTTTTTTTTCAGGTGTTGTAATTACGTTGCTTTTTTAACCGTCTATTTGTTTTATTACTAAATATTATCATTCCCATGTGGCATAGCTTCTGGTTATTCTTAATTTTGTGTGTTTATTTTGCATAGTTATATAATAGTTTTCATACAGTATTTGTTTTTCTGTTTCTTTTTAATTTGTTTTGTAAATGTCTATAATGTTTTCCATGTGATGAATGGGTTCCTACTGTTTTAGCTGGTATATGAAAGTATGTACGTGTCTTGTATGCTTATATAATATATGTGTGTGTGTGTGTGTGTGTGTGTGTTGGCTCTTAGAGAGAAAGAGAAAGAAAGAAAGAAAGAAAAGAGAGAAGAGAAAGAAAGAGAAAAAGAGACACACAGAGAGAAAGAGAGACAGAGAGAGAAAGAGACAGACAGAGAGAGAGAAAGAGACAGAGAGAGAAAGAGACAGAGAGAGAAAGAGACAGAGAGAGAGAGAGAGAGAGGGGTGGGGTACACACGATATCTTCTCATTCTGCTGCTGCTGTTGCTGCTTCTTCGCGTTCACCAGCAGTAAACTCCTAGCGGTAAGTGATGGTTGTTCTTCTACTTCTGGAATTTAGTCTGGGACGAGAACTTGATTTTCGAGCAAACATCCTTTTACAGACCTAGCTTATTTGTTTGCAGACTGTTGGTTCCTTGCCTCTTGGGCAGCTACATTCCAAAGTCGAAGAAAACACCCCTAATTAGTAAAGTTTTACGACATGCATGATTGGCGGGGGTGAGTCTATTATCTTTCCCCACATAGGGGTCGCAGAACCCTCACGAGGAACACCTAATAAGCAAATTGTATGACGACCTGGGTGAGCTGCTAAGAGCCACGGCCATATCGGGAGATAAAAGGGGCAGAATAAAATGTGTGTATAGTCATAATGTTGCCTGCATCTCCCATCCAGTATCAGCCATCATCATTAGGTAAGTGCTTTGCTTAACAAAAACAAAATAACAAAATCGTCAAGTTCAACTAGCATCACCGAAGGGGAAGCTTCAGGTTATAACTGTGACTAGGTTATGTGCGTCATTTAAAATGGCATAGCATTGCACGCCACCAAGAGACAGACCCAAATACTGTCCTGACTAGCGACGAAGTCGTCTACCGGTAAGCGAAGGGACGACCAGGTCGTCAATCTGGGACATCATCAGTTTTCTTTCGTGTCCTTATATAATCACACATGGCTCACAGTCCTTGCTTCCATTCGGTTCTACCTCTTGCAATCCCTTCGCTATCATTATTGTAATCCAGTTCAACTTCGTTGTTCCCTCTTATTAACGTTGGTTTTAAAGTTTCTTTTGGACGTTCCCGCTTTAATGATGTCTTTATTTACCGTTTTAGTGCCTCTTGTATGTTTCTCTGTTCGTTTCTACGCAGGATTTGTCCAGCATAGTGCCATTGTCTGTGCTCTTTAAATGTTGTTATCAGTTATAGCTAAATTTCTCATATTTCTGCACTCCTCTTGAATTTTTCCAATTTTATGTTCAGTGTTTCCGTAGACATTTGTTTTATAGTCCATTTACCTTTCGTTCAATATCTTTAGTGGCTCTGTAGCTTTCACTGGCAAATGTTAAAACTAAAATAACATTAGAACTGAAAATACATAACTTGGTTTAAAGCTTTACAATCTAGAGTTCCGTTCTGTGTGCAGGATTTTAAAGGCTGCTGATATTTTTTTCTTTGTGTTTTAAAATTACTAACTAAATTATTAAATTGATCTGTTTTTTTACTTTTTTGTGTCTCTAGTGGTATATCAACTTGATATTTTATTGCTGCCTTCAACATATTTGTCTTTTATCATTTATTTAGAGTCCAACTTTCGGTGCTTAGGTTAGTTGTGTATCCTTTACAGGACTTTGCAGAACCAGCCTCAACAGCCCCTGGCTGTTGTGTGGTTTTTCTAGGCAAATTTACGTCCAGTAGTTTGTCATTGCTTTCTAGACGGTCGGCTTTCTTGATACCGCGTCGAAACCAACGCAAGGCGCATGGCCCGCAGCTGGGAAACGAACCCAGCATCCTGGCATCACAAAGAGTTCGTATCGACTTAGCCACAGAGCCGACCTTTCAGTTCTACATTTGCTAAATCATTAGTTTTTCTTTGCATGTCATTGTAAGTAAAGTAAAGTAAAGGACCCTTCTCCGCGTCTTTCAGGCGTATTGGGTATATAGGACTAGATTTATATTTTATAGACCAACGGCACTTGGTGGATGATATGGTCAGCATCACGCCAGTCCCCTTTACTTCCCAAAACTGTACCTGGTACCCACTCAAGACTGGGTGATTTTTTTTAATGCATATCATAGTATTTTTGTACATTACCGATAGGTCTTTAGAAACATAAGTCTAGCTTCGTATGGCTAGACTTAATAAAGGTCTTTTAATTACTTTTTGTATGCATATTCTATTTGTTTGAATTTGATGTCATATTTATAACGCTTTTATTTGGAATATGTATGTATGCACTTTATGTTCAGGATTGTTTATTTCATATATGTTTTGTTTTCCCTTTGATATGTTGTTTTTGGCATGTACTTTGGGATATGAATTAATGAAATGCCGGGTAGTACAGTGGCAGCCAAGCTTGCCTAACGATCCGGTATTTATAAGTTCAAACCTCATTAAAAAAAAAAGGTGATTACATTTCCACTATTGACAACAGTTCCCTGGTTGACGACATATAAAGATATGCAACTAACTGTGTGTGTGGTTGTTGTTATTTTAACTCATTTACTACCAAGCAGCTCACCATGTGTTTCAGTGATTGCCTTATTTGAAACATTTTTTATTAATGTCTTGGTGGCTTCATTTGGCGCTGGCAGAACGGTTAGAACGCTGAGCTCTCAAGCGGGACACCCAGGTTCTAGTTTTCGGTAAGGCTGGGTATTTTTTCACTCGGAGACAAAGTAATATCCTCACCTGCGCAGTCGTGGCGACAGCACTAGCCATGCGGCCGTAAATGCTCAAACTAAAAGACCCCCCCCCCCCCCTCTTTGCCTACACCGCAAAAGTGTATTTGGCAGGTTTTTTTTTTTTTTTCCAGCTGTTACACTAACTTCTTCTACATTAACTATTCTATACAAATTGTTACTTTAACTTACATTGTGCATAGTGGTATGGTTTAACAGATCAAGTCCAAAAGGTTACTATCTTTAGCAACAGCTGTTTAAATTAGATATGGAACTGGAACTAAAAGAGTTAAATAAAACATTACAACAAAGTGATTATGTTTGAGGTGACGACACGCAAGCTGGTATTGTTGTTGTTCTTGTCGTTTTCTATCTGACTGCGTTTTGCTCTAGCAACATCTAACCCAACATCATATAGTCAGCTGTTATTTTTCTACATTATGTACCCCCTCTCCCCCCCCCCCCCTTTTTTTTTTCCCCCCCACAGCTTTATATGCGTCTGAGTTATTGGTTACGAGTTGGGTTAACTTCACAGCTCTCTGGTCAAGTTCACTGGTGCTTAGATTCCCCACTTTTTTTAAATATTTACATCACCGTCGCATAGTTAATAATGCCAGTCTCATTCTGGTTAACGAGACTTCTTGTACGTCCAGTGTGCCTCTCATACATGGCTGTGCCGACCCTTACTCCCAATTGTCGTATCCACCACCTGATGAGATAGATACAAATCTGCCTTAGGGCCCGACGCTTTTAGAATTGACAGAATGTTTATAGTTAACAGGGGTTCTCGCGTGGACCCAACCTAAAATGGACGGCAGGAAACACCATATGAAGTACAGACGGTTAGCTTAGCCTTGGCCTA